AGGTTTCTGGCGTGCCCAAGAGACGCAATTCTTCACAGCGAATCGCGGCGCCTTAGACAACTGGGCCACCCGTGCCCCGAACTATTCATGAACATTTACAGATGAAAAAAGATGGGTGCTAAAGTTTCTAAGTTCTGACCTTAAGGAAAAATGACCTGACATTGCCAGAGAAAATTTAGAGCTAATTGAGGAGGATTTCGTCAAATTCAAAAAGAGATAAGTAACTGGTAATTAAACACGGGTCCACCACTATGATCCCCAGTCAAAACGTCATTCCATGGAATGACACCATTCCTCTTCTCCGGCACCAAAGAAATTCAAGTCTTTAAGATCGGTTATTGGCACTGTATTCTGGGATGCAAGGGGTGTGATCCTTGTTGATTAATTAGACAGTCAAAAGACGATTACTGGTGCCTACTATGCTGATTTTCGTCATCGCCTGAGAGGTTCTGTCATAGAAAAGTGGCTGGGAATGCTGACTGCTGGAGTTCTACTACTTCATGACAATGTCTCTTCTCACACCCCTCGACTTGCACAAGCTGCTGTATTCGCGCTATGCATTCCGCATGGACTGGTCAGTCAGTTGCGTTGCTGGCGTTGCATCATGTTCTTCTCGAATTTCAGATGTCCTTGGAAACGCCCTCGTGAGCCTATCATGGCACATCACACCTTTAGATCTGGACCAGTAATACCTACAGCTTTGAGACTGACCACATACGTCATGATGGTCGACTCACAGGAGATTGTGATGGCTAGTTTTTAACTTTATGTAACGCACATATGTTTTAATAATATATTCATATGGATTTTCTGTTCACAAGTGTTCTTTATTCTCAATGTTGGCAACGGTCAATGGTGAGGTGAGGTGAGGTGAGGTGAGGTGAGGTGAGGTGAGGTGAAATTGGGTTTAACGTCGCGTCCAAGATTATTGCACTTATGTTGCGACGTGCATGTACGTGTATGTGTTTGTGTGGCTGCTTGTAGTAGTCCGGACTGATGCCGATTTATAGTGCTAGCCCACTGAGATACCATGCCGCAGTTTAACATGAATACCCCACTCAGACACAGTATACTGACTCCGAGCCGACCAGTCCTTGTTTTAGCCCCTTAATGACGAGCGCAAGACAGGGCAACAACAGCAACGGTCAATGGAACAACATCAGTAGAATGCTACATGAATCAGGATGAAAGTTTCTTGAATACGTTATTAGCATACTATGTGTAATTGTGTGTGAAGAAAATACGTGAAGGGATCGGGTTGAAATGGTTAACTAGAAACTAGAACACTGCTAATCGTAGATGACCAGTAAATGGGATCAGGTTGGCAAGCTCTGTGACTTAGTAACTTATTGCGTGTCACCCTGTCTGTTGGCGTGGATCGTTGCTAATTTATTTAGTCAGTGATTTAAATGGACCAGACTTGGAAGGTCACTTGGACATTTCACTCCCTGAAGAAAAGCTTGCAAGGGGTAATGCGTATTATTAAGACATGTAGACAGACCGGCAACGCTAAGACTAGGAACATTTATTTCGGATAAGCGATAAAATGATCGCGAAGCTATCCCCAAGAACGATTTTGTGATTCAAAAACACATTCACATGGTCGGAATTGTACAATTGACTCTGCTATTAACAGAGATTCCTTATGCATGGAAAGGATTTCGACACTATTATCAATACCAGTCAACAATATTCCAGCTGTATCACACTAAATTATACAGGTGAAGTGAGGTGTTTTGTTGTTTCAAGGTTATTGCACTTACATAGCGCGTGTGTGTGTGTGTGTGGGGGGGGGGGGGGAACATACCGATTGTATAGCGCGAGTCATCGTAGATACGATGCCGCAGTTTAACATGAATACCCCACTCAGACAGCATACTGACTCCGAGCGGACCAGTCCTTTTTTGCCCCTTAATGCCGAGCACCAAGCAGGGTGTCATCTTGTAACGTCTTTTGGTATGACGCGACCGGGGATCGAACCACGAACCTTGCGCTCTCTGGGCAAACGCTCTACCTATAGACCACGGAGGCGGTCCTTATTTTACAAAGGAGCATAATAATGCATTTAGAATCAATAGAGGAACACGTCGTGTAGGTTACTCATAGTTTCATTTGTTTAATAATTTCGCATCGTACAATTGCTGACTCTGCTTGTGGAAAGAAATTCTCATGAATACGAAAAGACTCTGTCGCTTTTTTATGAATATGGAAGGCATAGATTTGCATGTAAAAACTGTCTCCGTCGATCTTCTGAGATGGATAACATACATGTATACCTCAAGTAAATACAGGTTACTAAAGGCTACTCTACAGTGCAGGACTTAATTACTTATGTGCCAATATCTATAAGTATGTACACTGACGTTGTGTGTTATTCTGTAGAAGCTACTTTGAAATGGATGATATAACGCTCAATCGCCTACGCTTCAAACAAATATTTAAAAAAACATGTTCCAGGCACAACAAATGTTATAGCACACCGTAGGTCAAGGTAGATCAGGTGCAAAGAGGCGGATGGTATGAGCTGGAAATACAGCTGTTGATCGATGAAACGTGTTGTTGTTGGTAAGTGTAGGTGTAGTAAAGACATTACAGAAACTAGCAAGGAAATGAATTTCCATCTCATTTGATTTCATGGACCATTTCATCATTATTTACAACAGTTGCGTTAAATCAGCCTATCTGCTTGGAGATTCTTCTCAAGGATGAATTGCAGATCATTCAATACACTGTTAATTAATACAATCTGTTTTATTAATTGATATGCTTTCAGGCACGTTGTACTCGACATAACATTAATTACCATAGCATACTTAATACTATTTAGTTACTCAAGTTTTGAACTTAATGGGAATTAACCATTATGATAAATAGAACTTTCGACTTTCTCTATAATGAAGGTTTAACGGTTGTCGGGATAATTACAGAAGAACATGATAACAAGGTGTTTACCTCGTGTATCCAATGCTGCTTATACTACATTGGTTATGACTACTTTAGTTAAATCAAATACCTGACTGTCAAAACGTTCAACCTCAGATTCAGATGTATTGTAGTTGACCTCGTTCTAACAATGCCGCGGACGTCTTTGGCTTGAACTTCAGCAATAATGGAACAGGAAACAGTTTTCCGGCGGTACTATTAGTGTGTACCATTACCTAATTACATGGATACCGCCGAAGGCAACAAATAACAGTCGTACATTATATGGAGCGAACAGATCGATATATTTCTTCCTTCAATACCTAATTAGCTTAATTGCAGTGGCTCTCGTACACCTGTCAACCCAGTGTTGTGAACGATAGTGCCTACACAAAGACGCAGAAAACATGGCATCCCGATTATAAGGAACACATTTATATAACTGCGCAGTGTCTGCCTTAATGAGGTCTGCTTGTTTGATTTTGTAATCACTGCGCTACTCGAACGGTCTTGTATGGGAGTACTCTAACGATATTAAGTCAAATCTGTCGCCCTTCCGAAGGGATGACGCCTGAAATCACATATTTAATGTCAAGACAAACCCTATATATTCTTTTAAAAAAGTAGGGGATCGTGAAATATAAATGTTAATATCAAGCATTAGAAGAAAGACGTTGTTGACGACAAACATACTGTGCAAGAACGTTTATGACTTCAAAACTTAACACCAAAACACTGTGATCTCTATGGATCATTATTTCTGTCAATCTTATTGGTAAAAGTCAGTAATATATATATATATATATATATATATATATATATATATATATATATATATATATATATATATATTACTGACAATGACATATGTTACACTGAAGAGCGAAAGTACTATATCTGAAACTGATATAAAGATGTTGGACTAACGTGGACTTTATTATCTTATTATATATTACATGTACACCGAGTGAACATTTACCTAATTTTTGTATATATATATATATATATATATATATATATATATATATATATATATATATATGGAACCTTTTAGCTTTCCCGCTATATAAGCTCAATTTTGATCATGAACCTACATTGTTTCAAAAAGAGCAACATTTCATTCATAAATACGCGCCTAAGTTAAATGTAAAGGCGTAAGTTATTTGTCCATTGTCACTCTGGTATTGTGACGTCATAGTTTCCTAAATGTTATGACATGACGTAACCATATGTAACTACTACATGTCCGTTATTCAGTTATGGCCTGATGAGACTCGTACGTGGTACGAGTTGAAAGCGCTAGCCTATTAAAACTGTGTTCAACCTTACTCCACTTATTTAATTATTACTATATTATATATATATATGGCTGTGGGGAATATGGACAACTCTTAGTCCCTTAACACTTTTGGTGTCCATGTGATGCCAACCTCTTTCCTAAAATGTCTTACCCCCAAAAGTGTACGTAGATGTTGTCAATGAGAAAGTAAAGCATTTCACATATTGTTTTCTTAGTGAACTTATGATTGCAGTTGCTTTCATTTTTAACAAAGTAAAGTGTCCTGAACCTCTGTATATAGATACGGAACTGTATCTGTGGTCACCACGTTTTGGAACAAAAAAGCCCCATGGATCAAGGAATGAAGTTTTTCCTTAAGTTTATCATGTGCCATAATGGTGTACAAAGAAACCCCCGAAACAAATATCGTATAATAGAGGGATATATATTAGGAAATTGATTTCTTGGGTAGTACAATAGTTCGTGTCAGCGTGTTTGATATGAATAGGGTGCACTGACTGTATTTCGAGAAGAATCAACATCTTTATATTTGAGAGTGTACAAAAAGCATACAGAAAAAATTGGACCCTGGGATCATCCCTCAAATTTTCACATTACATTTATCTATATCCATAAATAAATTCCCTTTATCATCACCTCCTCAACTATTTCTATTCCCTTATGCCAAACCCTGTCCACACAATTCCCCTCCCCACAACTCAAAATGTCAGAAATATATGTCGCAAACTCTGACTGGTGAAATGTAATAAAGACACAATATAAGAAACGATATACTTACATTGGTGATATCGACATGTGAGGAAATAGCGGTCTATACTGATAGCTGCCAAGCTTCCTATACTTGCTATGCCGAAAAACATTCCGTTGAAAGCATACCACTGGCATCCAATAGAACCAATCATCCACCTGAAACCGGGTGAAGTGGAGCTAAGGATAATCATTAAGAACATAATTGATGAAGTTAGCACAGAATTTCAGAATAATCTGAGAAAATAATAAAATGTTTGAAATTGTAACATTTTCTGATAGTTTTTATGTTTGTAACATTCCCTAATGTCAGATTGTAACCTTAATGACTTGAGCTTTCTCAATGAAATTAATTGTTTCAATTGTATATATCAATTGGGCCTCTGAATATACTGTATTTCCGTACATGTATTATCCGGTACAATATCATGTAAAAGTCATTGAACGTAAAACGGGTTCAACGTCGACAAGGACAATAATACCATCAGTAATATGACGGCGTCGGGAGGAAAACCCAAAGTGATGAAAGTCTCAGCCTACTACCAGGGTATGGTGCTGGGAAACCGAGACTCGAACCTGATATCACAGGAACCTGGCTTCCATAAGGATGCATCTGTATACAGTAAATTGTTAAATTGTGCACATCATATACACGGCAGGATAGCGGTATGAATGAGTCGGGTCTGCTCACCATTTCGAGATGAATCACAAATACTCATAGCCAATCAGGGGCGATCGGGTAGCCTAGTGGTTAAAGCGTTCGCTCGTCATGCCGAAGACCTGGGTTCGATTCCCGACATGGGTACAATGTGTGAAGCCCATTTTCTGGTGTCCCCCGCCGTGATATTGCTGGAATATTGCTAAAATCGGCGTAAAACCATACTCACTCACTCACTCACTCATTCACTCACTCACTCAAAGCCAATCAATGTATAAAAGACCACATTCATATGCACGAATAAGAAAGGGACATTTGTATGGAAAGTCGTTATGTTATATTATGGGAGACACCGTATATACACGTGAAAATGCCTTATTCAAAAATGCTTATGGAATAGAATAAACCTCTACGAACCACTGATCAGTCCGAATGGCAAAGATCATTCTTTTTTTCTACTATCAATCATTTGAATTATCTTCTGAAATCATGTCGCCGAATACGTTTTTTTGTCTGACGGATTTAAAGTCTCACCTTTCTCTGATAATAGACCATGCCATGAAGGGGAATCCAAACACATTTATTCCAAGATCAGCTATGGCTAGATTCAACATCAGGGCATTTACTCTTGTCCGTAGAGCCTTAAATCGTATGAAGAGAGCCAAGATGATAACATTCCCAATAGTACCACCTGTTCCTGAAAATTGAGAAGAAACATTTCAAGACAGAGCATTAGGTAAAGCCAAGCAGCTAGGTAACTGCTTTCCATCTAAATGGTGAGTCTTTCGGACTCTTTTCAGAAGAGACTCTGGTATATAATTACGATCGAGTAAAAGTGTAAATTGCGACAAAACCATTTCCATATCCAATGGAAATATTTGCATAAGCAGAGTCGATTGTACGATTAACAAGAGCATGTGTATATGAATCACTAATAAACAGTGATGAGGTCACAAACAAATGCAAAGTCAATTGTTCACCTGAAAAAAACACGGGAGCATATTGTACAAGTCAAAATAAGGAAGTGAATCATACATCATTTTTCTCAAAATTGCGACTTATTTGGAAATGTCCTCCACGTGTCTATCATAACACTTTTTTGAAAGCTTTACTGAGGCCTTAGAGGTTGTATTCTTGATTAAACTGCTTCTGAGTAGTCGTATGACGCTCTTTGAAATCTTGGAAGAAAGAGCAGCTGCAGGATCAGTGCTAGACATAAACATGATAAAGGGGAAGGTGGCTAAAGTTAAACTTCTTGACCAAATTACCTTGTTTTTACTTTGCACCTAAACACCTAAAATGTGGGTAATTCTTAACCGAAGAGACGTTTGATCAACGTCTTGCACAGGAGAAAGTAAACTTTAAGTTATTCGACTTGAATGTTGTATGTTGTTAGTCTGGACAACTGGGTTTTAGCTTTTTACAATTTTAAGACACTACTTGTTGATCGTAAAACAGTGTACAGCATGCATAGATGTGTCTGGGGATAAAGACATAAATTTTATTGGTTATTTGGGGAGTCGAAGGAAAATTTAAGAAATCCTAAATATGAAGAACAACGTTTTTTTAAGGGTCGAGTGGGTGTGGGAGAGAGAGGAGAGGGGGAGCCATTAGCATGATTCATGATTCACAATCAATTCCAGGCTTAGTAAAAAATGCTAATGAACTTTGACGTCATGTACAAATACGCCCCAAGCCAAAAGATCTATGCAACGGTGCATTTAGTTTCTTTGAGAGGCATTTAGGAGATGGAGTTCTAAATGAGGATAAGATATATGGATGAACAACGTCTTTATTACGATTAGTAGCGACGTTTCGGTGTAGGTTCATTTAAGCATAATAATTGTCTTTACAATGTCTATACTATTGTTGAATGACTGTTTACCTCTGAGGCAGGTTGGGGACAGCCCCGTACACGCGTACAACCGAATTGAACATTCTGGGATATTGCTTAATTCATGCTCACTCACTCTTATTCTTACGTCGACTATTGAAATCTATGTCCAATCCAAATCATATTCTGAAGACCTAATGTCATGATAACATAGGACATAATCTTGACAAACACAAGATTTAAACAATATTTATGCCATTTATTTTGACTCAGTATGTCAGTGGTATTGGTTTTTAGTATGTAAATATTGTTAACAAAACTGTTCATCAGGTGTGAGTGAGTTTGGTTTAACGCCGCTTTTAACAGTATTCCAGTCATATCACGGCGTGTCAGCTTAATGTGGGAGGAAAGTGATGCAGGTCTTAGACGTTTACCACTTCGGTGAAACCCACGAGCACGGGTATTGTGCTGACAAACCTAGAAACATAATCGGGGCGAACCGGGATTCGAACCCACAAACATAGGTTTTTGGCGTACCCAAGGGACGCAACTCTGCACAGCGAATTGCAGCGCCTTAGACGACTGGGCCACCCGTGCCCCCTGTTCATCAGGAATTGTTTATTTCCTGTTTTTAATATAGGAAGGCTGGTATAACTAATTATATCAGCTTCTATGACAAAGACGTCTCGTATTTAAACTGGAATACATAACACATGTAACCAAAAGAGGACGCATTTTAACAGGATATGAAGTTCGCTTCACTCTCAGGTTATGTTTATGTCCCGAGTGCACTAATTTGAAGAGAAGCCAATGTCTAATTAAAAATCAGATTTTACAGCTCGCTACCGAAACCTGTGTGTAACGGTAGCGAGCACTATGGTCGGACTTTAGAGAGATTGCGAATCGCATTAGTGCTCTCAATTAATCGTCGGAGATAAAGGTCAAGGTTCCTGTGTTCCCAGCGGAAGTCATTGGATGTTGCCATACATGTAGCGCCCTTTTTTATTATTTCTCCGCTAGAGGTTATTTGCGAAAGTAAATATCTAATAGTATCATTCATTTTCTTACAGAAGTAGTTGATCGTATTCTCTCGTTAGAGAGCAGTAGACGACTTAACTATGCAGTTCTTGTTAAGCTTCAGTTATTCCACTGAGAGATCATCGAGCGCATCCCCAGAATACATCAACGCAGACAAGAGATGCAACACGCATCCAAAGAATGCACTGTCGGACAATTCATCGGATGTTTCAGTGGATATTATACACCTCTGACTCATTTAGTGAGTGAGTGGGTATGGTTTTACACCGCTGTTAGCAATATTCCAGCAAAATCACCCTGGGGACACCCGAAATGGGCTTCAAGCTGTGCAATTTGTATTTTTCTGTCATTTATAATTTTGGAGGCATTTCCTTCGTTGTACCCGACCAATGAACCGTGTCGTTGTAACGCAAGTAACCAGCATGTGAGTGAGTGAGTCAGTCAGTCAGTGACGTTTTACGCATCTTCCCCAGGCAAGAGAGATCACTGACTTTAAAAGTCCAGTTTCCACCCTTGCCCAACTAGGCTGGTATTATGGAGTTACAGTTTGGCTGGACTAACGAGTCTATGCATAGTCCAATCAAAATCGCGCAACCAAATCGAAATCTGCTTCGTAAACTGTCACGCAGATGTCGGTCGATTGCAGGATTTGCAAAGCATGTGCACCGCCAACTCGTTGTCAACAGATATTTACCTAATCTTTTCATGTTTTTAATCAAGGTGCTCACGTGATTTGATGCACTTCGCGATGTAAGACCCGTTTTATCACAATAACGATCTTGATTATAGATCAGATCGTCCTGACCCGTGCGCCGCCATTTTGTTTTAAACAAATGCAAGTGATACGAGAGGTAGAATCTGATTGGTCCATAGGAGAGGCATAGAAGGGACACAATTCATAATATCCACTGGTGGCGCTACAATCGGGCCCAGGAGTTCCAGCCATGCTCGGCAAGGGTGGAAACTGGACTTTTGTAGTCAGTTAACTCCCTTGGCTCGGGAAGATGCGTTTTACGCCGCTTTTAGCAATATTCCAGCAATAGCTTCACACATTGTACCCTTATCGGGAATCGAACCCGGGTCTTCGGCGTGACGAGCGAACGCTTTAGCCAGTATGAGTCACGGTAGACGACATGCTTTACAATATGTACATGTGAAAAGTAACTGTGTCTTGTGCAACAAACTAGTCATTTCATTCTTATAGCTGGAATGACGGGTTTCCCTTTATATAGTTCCTCGTATATTTCGCCCCAAATGTGTAATGAAAATACATCAGTGTGTTCCACTTTGTCAATGAAGGTATAGATCGATATTTGTTTTGTCTATGGGTGTATACTGATAGAAGTGTTGGGGATATACATCAGCCAGACATTCCGGCCATTCTTATAATGAACACTGGAGGTTGACAGGTTCTGCATGGGTATTTGTCCTTAATTCAGACGGCACACAAAAGTGACAATGGACACAAACCTATGGTCAAAATGCCTGGGAAAACTTCGTAACGACCACAACACCAAAAAAACGTCATCAGACGCGTGTGAAACCTTGGTCTTATTATTCGTATTCTTTGGCATATATATTGTAATGAAGAGTTTTTGAAATATGTATAAAAAACGACTGCGTATTAAAATCAAATTAAAAATTTAACATCTAAAAACTGAAATTGACCCGAATGTGTTGTTTCATAAACTACATTTAGATTTAAATTTTAAGAAACATATCATGCGGCACATTCTCATTATTTTTCTTTATATTCATCAGGTCAGTTACCGCGTAACAACAGTGTACGCTGCCACGAAAACAAGCTTCTGGCCTTGTCTTTTGTACCCCCACCACACATCAGACCTGTCTTCGGGAAACCCCAAGCTGCAGTCCCTGTGACAGTTCTTTAAACGCCAGTGGCCTTCCAGCATTTCCTTTCTGTCTCAAGCTGTGGTCCGTCTTCAACCAGTCCATCAAGACTGACAACCATTTGAGTGAGTGAGTGAGTTGGGTTTAACGCAGCCTTTTACAGTATTAGAGTTATATCGCGGCGTGTCAACTCAATGTGGGAGGAAAACCCGAAGTGATGCAGGTCTCAGACGTCAAACACTTTGGTGAAACCCACGAACACGGGTATGGTGCTGACAAACCTAGAAACACGATCGGGGCGAACCGGGATTCGAACCCACAATCATAGGTTTCTGGCTGGCCCAAGGGATGCAACTCTGCACAGCGAATCTAATTTTAATCTATGATGTCAAGTATCTGTGCTGGTCCATACTAAGTTGAGTTATCACTCAGTGACAACTGTGTTGACGACAAACAGTCAAGAACAACGTGATCAATATTCAATTAAGAACCGTGCACAGGTGACAATTGACAATGTTAATGTCATTTCATGTTATCTATACAATGTACACGTATACAATTGATGTCACAGTGACATAATGATTGAGCTTGTTGACTAAATTTTATTTCACTTTGACCTTTTTAGTTGAGGCAATTCTGACATCAGGTCACCTTGACTTCCTTCACTCCACACCAAGGCCACAACAGTTTTTGTGAGCTTTTTGATTACTTTCTTTGATGTTGTTAACTTGATCAAGCAACTTTTGGTCAAGAGCCATTTGACGCTGTTTGAAATCTTTGTAGAAAGGGCATGCTCGATTGTACCTCAATTTGTGAAATGTAACCACCAAAGGCTGGAGCTGCCATCACTGATTTTCAGTGGTCCATATAATATTTACCGTCATTCTGTCTATTAAGCCTTATGGAGTGCAATAATCTTGGAAGCGACTTTAAGCCCCATTTCAGCTCACCGTACGCCTTATGGAACTTGTTTC